TTGTAAACTGATACATAAATTCATTGGACTTCAGTTACTCATTGCAGGGCCCTGACATCAGTCTTTCTACAGGACAGAGGTAGCAAAAGTGCAATAATCAACAGAAATTTGTTGTCTTTCACTGATCTGACTGGTGTCGGTGGAGTAGAAAGTTGAGCTGTTGCCCAAAGTGACCTGAGAGCTTTCATTTTTTATAAACTTGGAAAATGAACAAGTAATTTTATTCCTTTAAGAAAAAACTTTATCATAGCTGCAGTTTCCAATCAGCTTCACTGTATTGAAATTAAAGAGTACCAGTCTCCCTCACCACAGTACCAGTCTTGCCACAACCATTACATTTACATTTACTTCTGGGGTCTGAATAGCCTTAGTCTGCAACTAATATTACTGACTGTGTTCTATAACATAGCTTTTTCTAACCTTTTTAACATGTTTCATGAAGTTGATATCAACTGGGCAGATATAAATGTCCTTGAAGAATATGTTACCCCAACAGTTAATATTCCTAATATGTGTCTGTTGTACCATGTACTTGTGTTAAAAAGTATCCTGTTCTCTTTGTGTTGCTTCCTTTGTGTGAAATTCCTGGTGATGCTGCCTGTCCCCATGCTTTCCCATTTCGAACTGAACCTGCTAGACATGACAGCACATTCATCCCAGCGTGGACAGTATTCTGGTTGTGTTGGCAGAACAGCCTGCCTGTCCTCCAGTGATCAGACTTCTGCTGTCACGGCCTCCTGCACAGCCATTCACTGGGATGATCAGTGCACTGCTGCTTCTCCACCCCTACCTCTCTGAGCTCCTTATGCAGCTGAGAACACAGGTTATGTAAAAGGAAAAAAAAAGATATACACACAAATGTTATGCCTTTCATTTCTGTTTTAAACTGAATGGTTTACAAGATGAGGGTTCACATGTACTTTAATCGTCTCTCCCTCTGGGCAACTGCGGAAACTGAGCGGAGAAAGCTCATTTACTGGATCACAGCATGCTCACCCTACTCATAAGACACACTTGTACAGTACACAGAACATGGAAATTATTTTAGTAGTTATAAACTTTCTCATTTTATTTTTTATTTTATTTATTTCAGGTACTTATATAGTGCCATCAATTTTACACAGCGCTTTACATATATATTGTACATTCACATCAGTCCCTGCCCTCAAAGAGTGTAAAATCTAAGGTCCCTAACTCACATTCATACATACACATACTAGGGCCAATATTTTTTTAGACAGGAGCCAATTAACCTACCATCCTGTCTTTGGAGTGTTGGAGGAAACCGAAGTATCAGCATGTGCAGTATATCTTATGACTTCTATCAGTGTCCAGCACTGGGAAGTCTTGTAGGGGTTTTCCTTCTCCTTTGACTGTCCTATGAGGCTGCATAACCCATAACCTTCTGTCTGGACAGTGCTGGTTGGCCCTGTACCGATCACATGCAGCCTCCCCCCCCAAAAAAAACTCTCCAGCAATGCACACCAAACAGAGCATGTGCAGACTTGCCACTGCTGCTCTAACTGTGGCAGATGGATTGAGGAGAGAAAAAAAGGGGAGGATCAGAGAAGACATGATCAAACAGCCTTTTTACACAATGCAGAGGATTACCCCTTAGGTTCCACAGTGAATATAACAAGCATGCTTTACTGCATATACAGACTGATTTTACTGTTGTGGGTTTAGTAACACTTTAACCTTGCAGAATTTTCCCACTCCATATCAAAGACTCGATTGGCTCTGAATGTATCATGCAATGCAGTGTAATTGCTGTGGCAATGGCATTCATACGTAGGCAAGTGAGAGAGAAGCATTCCTGTTTTCCTATATTACAGTAACTGTTTTGCAGTTCAGATTTTACTTGAATTTTCATTTCAGTTCATTTCATGTGTCAATCTGTAGAGTGCAGAAACCTAATATATAAACTGATCTCCGAACCTTTCATGGCTGCTAGTTACAAGGAATTGCTCATCGCCTTCTCGAGACCGCAGACAGAAAACCTGGGGCAGTCAGGTTTATGAGTACACTTTGAGAGGAAGTGAGAGGAGAGATGAGGTTTCATTATCTTGTCAAAAAGAGTTGCTTTTTTTTCTGCAGGAGATTTCTATCCAAAAAAAATCTCAGGGTACATCATAATGGGAATAACACTGTCTTATTTAACAAGGCAGCATTGTGCCATAGCCCTTAGGAATGGTTTGAAATGTACACTTTATTGGTGTGCAGTAGCCGGAACAGTGACAAATAATTGCTAATTACTTTCTGTCTTTTTAAACAGAAGACTAATGTGTTTCATTTAATAATAAGGAAGTCCAGAATGTCCAATTAGAAGTCAGCTTTTATTAGAATGACTGCACTTAGAGCTGGTAAAAAGAAATGTTTAATTGACTGCTACACTATCTTTTTAAATAAAGTTGAGGAGAGCTTGGTTTTATCAGTGCAACATGTAGTTTTACAGACTTTATTACCATAAGTCATGTCATGTCTGCCAAGCTTTTTTAAAAAAAAAAAAAAATCAGTTTTTTTCTGCTCCTGCCAATGGGTGCAGTTAAACAAAGTCATATTGAAGAACATTGAGTTGATGAAGTTATAGGGGGATATTTACTAAACTGGAGCATGTAATATCTGGTGCAACTCTGGATAGAAACCAATTAACTTCCAGGCTTTATTATCAAAGCTTAGTTGAACAAGCTGAAGTTAGAAGCTGATTGGCTACCACCACACAGCTGCATCCGATTTCGAGTTTTCCAGTTTTATGTAATCTACCCCATAGTAAGGGCCAAGTCACACTGACTTGCGCTAAAATGTATGGAAAATGGATGTACATTTCCATCCATTTTGGTCACGCATTGACGTCCATTTACATACATTTTGACATCCGTTGACATACATATTGAAGTCAGTTGACATGCACCTTAAAGCGTACTGCATTTTCACAGGATATCCCGTGCATCGCGTTGACATCTGCTTATTTCCTTTACATTGTTCTAAATCGCATACATGTTGCATTTTGGCGCAACGCATGTCAACACAGAGTTATAGTATGAATAGGAAACATTGTAAATGATTGTTTTTCAGATGTCCTTTCCTTTACAGCTGCTCTAAAATACAGCTCAACGCAATGGTGTGATTTGGACCTCAAACCTAAGTTTACCTAAAACAAAAGAATGAAAAATCGATACAAGGGATATTACTTACCTTCAGTGAGATGTGTCCCTTGTACTGCTGGGTCCTTCTTTCGCTCCATCTTTCCCCTCCAATGCCCCACACCAATGTTGCAGTAAAATTCTGATGTGCCAGAGGTTAATAGAACTAGGGGGCTGCAAGAGGGTCTCATCAAGAGTGCCTGACTATGCCCACACTTTTTTCCTATCTGCCCATTCATAGATGCCGTACTGCAGCATCTATGAATGAAACACGATCTGTGAATGGGAGGTGTGTGGATCATTGATAGGTCTGCCTCCTCCATTCATAGACCATGTTTCATTTGTAGAAGCTGTAGTAATGGCTTCTAAGAATGGAGTAGTTGGGAGGAAAGGACAGGCATAGTTAGGCACTATTGAAGAGTGCAAATGACAGCTCCCTTAGTTCTGTTAAGCCCAGCTGCAACAAAAGATTATAGAGGTAGGGTTGGGGTAGGCACAGGGGTGTCCAAACGATGGCCCTCCAGCTGTTGAAGTACTACAAGTCCGCTGTTGAAGTACTACAAGTCCCATCATGCATCTGCCTCTGGCTGTTTTTCCTTTGGATGTCAGAGTCTTGCAAGGCCTCATGAGACTTGGAGCACCTGGAGGGCTATAGTTTGTACACCCCTGGGGGGCATTGGAGAAGAAATATTTTGGCAAAAGGAGGACACAGCAGCACAAGGGACACAACTCACTGCAATTAAATGATGTCCCTTATGCTAATTTTTTTTTTCAGGTAAACCTAGGCTTCAGTGTGATCATAACCCATAAAAGAAAAAATTAATATATTGCATTTTACCAGTCCCTAGATGTGGCTACAATAGTGGTCCTTTTTCAGGCTTTTGTTTTTCTTTATTTTTACCTGAGGATCCTAAGTAATACATTCCGTGTTCTTGGGTGGCAATGCTCACATCCTTTTGTATCTATGGAGGAGCTGCATTTTCACTCTGGAGCAGAACTAGAAAACACCTCCGACTCTCCTTATGTCCATAACATAAGGGGAAGTGTTCTGTTGTCCTCAGGGAAAGGATTGGAGCAGTGCAACTGATAAGAGTGTAGCGCAATTCAAATGCACAGGAAGTTATCAGCTTATATGATTTCTGCCATGATTTCATTATTACCGAGAAAGCAGGGCTTCTTCTGCATTAACAATGTAGAATGAAATACATTCTAGTTTAACTTATGTGAGTTAACTTTTCCACTTTTCGTTAATATATGGAAGGAATATGTTTAAAAACAACTTTATTGGCAAAAAAGAAAAAAAACTACTGTTGTCCTTTGGCACCACTAGCTTACAGCACAGCTGTTCCTAATGGTAAATCTGGTCTAAACTGATAGTCATGCAGTGGTAGAAGCTGTATGCAGTATATTGTATGTGTACGTGTATCCACTGATAATTTGCCTTTTCTCTGTACAATACACATTGGCTACAATAGCCTGTTATCCACATCGCCATCCACACTCTGCACTAAGTATAAGGCAAGATTTTACTATATGAATGCAGAACAGGGAAGGCTTTTATCGGAATCATTTATTATCATAACACCAGTGTCACTTTCCAGCTCCAAAAAGGAGTGTAGAGTGAAGGAATAATACATCATTGTCATAGGTCCCCAAGCACCCACAATTCTGCATTAAAAAAAAAAAAGTAGTCTTTGAACAAAAGCAGTGATGGGTTTACAAATGTTAATAATTAAAGCTTGCATGATACAGTAGTTCAAGGTGCTTCACATTAATCAAAGCTGTTCACTTTTATGCACCTTGGAGCTGGATGCTGTAGACAGTTTTGTAATGATGCTATTCACTTTTATTACTCAGACTGTGCGGGCTGCAAGGAGGAGATTAAGCACGGACAGTCATTACTGGCGCTGGAAAAACAGTGGCACGTCAGCTGCTTCAAGTGTCAGACGTGCGGAATTATCCTAACCGGAGAATACATCAGCAAGTGAGTATAAATGACATGGTGTGTGCAGGGACTGAGTGACAAACGAGTGCTGGGTATAAGCTTGAGTAGCCCATATGTCAAAACATTAGTCACCTTCAGTCAACTGTTGTGTATGAAGCCAGTTTTAGTGTAGTGGCCACTGACAGGCAAACATAACCAGGTCAAAGTTCAGGTAAGGAAGTCAACTGGATGACTGAAGACAGTGTGATGGAACCTGACTCCACTAAAGTTAGATTGGACAGTTGTTTGAAAGGATGGTTGTGAGTGAATAACCAACAGGAACACGTATGTACAAATTGGGCAATTTCTGGGCTTTGAACAGTGGCAGATATCTGGCCATGCGATTTCCAGTTTGATTATACAATCTGGTTTTACCAACAGCTACCTACAGGTGAAACTCAAAAAATTAGAATATCGTGCAAAAGTTCATTTATTTCAGTAATGCAACTTAAACGGTGAAACTAATATATGTGATAGACTCATTACATGCAAAGCAAGATCATTCAAGCTGTGATTTGTCATAATTGTGATGATTATGGCTTACAGCTCATGAAGACCTCAAATCCACAATCTCAGAAAATTAGAATATTGTGAAAAGGTGCAATATTCTAGGCTCAAAGTGTCCCACTCTAATCAGCTAATTAAGCCATAACACCTGAAAAGGGTTCCTGAGCCTTTAAATGGCCTCTCAGTCTGGTTCAGTAGGAATCACAATCATGGGAAAGACTGCTGACCTGACAGTTGTGCAGAAAACCATCATTGACACCCTCCATAAGGAGGGAAAGCCTCAAAAGGTAATTGCAAAAGAAGTTGGATGTTCCCAAAGTGCTGTATTAAAGCATAGTAATAGAAAGTTATGTGGAAGGGAAAAGTGTGGAAGAAAAAGGTGCACAAGCAGCAGGGATGACCGCAGCCTGGAGAGGATTGTCAGGAAAAGGCCATTCAAAAGTGTTGGGGACTTTCACAAGGAGTGGACTGAGGCTGGAGTCAGTGCATCAAGAGCCACCCGCACACAGACGGATCCTGGACATGGGCTTCAAATTCGTATTCCTTTTTTCAAGCCGCTCCTAAACAACAAACAACGTCAGAAGCGTCTTACCTGGGCTAAAGAAAAACAGACCTGGTCTGTTGCTTAGTGGTCCAAAGTCCTCTTTTCTGACGAGAGCAACTTTTGCATCTCATTTGGAAACCAAGGACCCAGAGTATGGAGGAAGAATGGAGAGGCACACACTGCAAGATGCTTGAAGTCCAGTGTGAAGTTTCCACAGTCTGTGTTGATTTGGGGAGCCATGTCATCTGCTGGTGTTGGTCCACTGTGCTTCATTAAGTCCAGGATAAAGAGAAAACAGGTGGCGCACACACTTGCCTGCCGTTGTGGCCATCATCATTTTTGTATGCTTTTTAGATACATGCTTCGTCTGTGAGTATGTTTTTATTTTTCACTCCTAACAATAAACCTTGGATAATGCACTAGGTGTGTGTGCCACCTGTTTTCTCTTTATCCAGTGGCTGATTTCCCCGTCTGAGGAGGGCTGCACCCCTGAAGCATTTCCTTTGGTTGTCGCTGTCCTGGTACCCTTGGCTTCCCTTTTGGCTGAGCATATCCTGAGGTGCTGGACAGTACATACGATATCTGGTTCATTAAGTCCAGGGTCAACGCAGCCGTCTACCAGGAGATTTTGGAGCACTTCATGCTTCCTTCCGCAGACGAGCTTTATGGGGATGCTGACTTCATTTTCCAACAGTAGTTTTTTTTTTTTTGCCCACACTGCCAAAAGCACCAAAACCTGGTTCAATGACCGTGGGATTACTGTGCTTGATTGGCCAGCAAACTCGCCTGACCTGAACCCCATAGAGAATCTATGGGGCATTGCCAAGAGAATGAATTGAGACATGAGACCGAACAATGCAGAAGAGCTGAAGGCCACTATTGAAGCATCCTGGTCTTCCATAACACCTCAGCAGTGCCACAGGCTGATAGCTTCCATGTCACGCCGCATTGAGGCAGTAATTGCTGCAAAAGGGGCCCAAACCAAGTACTGATTACATATGCATGCTTATACTTTTCAGAGGTCCGATATTGTTCTATGTACAATCCTTGTTTTATTGATTGCATGTAATATTCTAATTTTCTGAGATTGTGGATTTGGAGTTTTCATGAGCTGTAAGCCATAATCATCACAATTATGACAAATCACGGATTGAACTATCTTGCTTTGCATGTAATGTAATGAGTCTATCTCATATATTAGTTTCACCTTTTAAGTTGCATTACTGAAATTAACTTTTGCACGATATTCTAATTTTTTGTTTTACCTGTATAGTGAAAAGGCCTACCTTAAACATTCTGTTCAATTTATATCCAATTTGGTCAGCCCTAACACTACATGTATGTTGGTAAATCTAACTCAGATCGTACAAATCAGTTTTTAATGTGTTTAAGGAGTGTTTACATATTTTGACGCCATTGACTATAGTAGGCTCCATAGCAGCACAACGGAGGGCATGTTTATAGTAAGAAACATATCTTGCTGAGAAAAATCACTTGGGGATCTCAGTGTTGATTCACTTTCCTAATGCCACTAAGGCCTGCATACCAGCCCTGTAGAAGGCACCAAACCCTTCACCAAAGCACAATGGTTTGCTTGAATTTGGGAAATCCAACAAATGGAAAATCTCGCACTTATGAAAATCAAGAAGATACATACTGAAATATTTTGACAGCTTGGCTCATATACAGTATCTTCCAAAAGTGAGTACACCCCTCACATTTTTGTAAATATTTTTATTCTATCTTTTCATGTGACAACACTGAAGAAATGACACTTTGCTACAATATAAAGTAGTGAGTGTACAGCTTGTATAACAGTGTAAATTTGCTGTTCCGTCAAAAAACCTCAACACACAGCCATTAATGTCTAAACCGCTGGCAACAAAAGTGAGTACACCCCTAAGTGAAAATGTCCACATTGGGCCCAAATTGTCAATATTTTTGTGTGGCCACCATTATTTTCCAGCACTGCCATAACCCTCTTTGGGCATGGAGTTCACCAGAGCTTCACAGGTTGCCACTGGAGTCTTCTTCCACTCCTCCATGATGACATCAAGAGCTGGTGAGTGTTAGAGACCTTGCGCTCCTCCACCATTTGTTTGAGGATGCCCCACAGATGCTCAATTGGGTTTAAGTCTAGAGACATGCTTGGCCAGTCCATCACCTTTACCCTCAGCTTTTTTGGCAAGGAAGTGGTCATCTTAGAGGTGTGTTTGGGGGTCGTTATCTGTGAGATACTGTATAAGGACTGAGGTCCTCCCTCTTTTCTTTTTTTATTTTCCATCCTCCTTCTTTTCCCCTTTATTTTATTTCTTCTTTCCACCTTTATGTACCACCTCTCAACTGCTCCCTCATCCAGTCCCACCCCTGCAGAACTCTCTACTATTCTACTTGAAATTTCCCCTTACCCTGACCGCTAATATATATAAAAAACAGAGGAATCTCTCTTTTTTGTACAAATAAAAAATTTAATTACAAGTTTCAGATAAAGCAGGTGGATAGATTAATTGTAGATCCATCTTGTTCTTTGGTGTGTGTCAGAACTCATACTGGCAAACCTACTTCTGTATGTATTTGCTCACTGTATTTCCAGCACTCATAACTGTTCAAGTAAAGATTTTGTTTTTAAAGAGACAGGTTACCTTGAAAGAACAATACCTACACACTGGCTGATACTCACTTTTTATGTCCTTATATATACTTCTGTTGTAGCACTAAGTCCAAACCTATGGGGGGGATTTACTAAAACTGGAGAGCGCAAAATCTGGTGCAGCTTTGCATAAAAACCAATCAGCTTCCAGGTTTTATTGTCAAAGATTAGTTGAACAAGATGAAGTTAGAAGCTGATTGGCTACCATGTGCATGTAAATCTCTCCCATGAGCTTAGCGCTGGATTGTGCTAAAATGTATACAGTGTTAAGGACTTTTTCCCCTCCCCATGTGACCGTGTTCAGTCCTGGAAATTGGCCACTCATGTTGTAGCACCTGGGAAGGAAGTCACATGCTCTTCCTGCCCAGAAGCATACCTGGAAGTATCTGTTGAAGGCTCCAATGGAGCAGCAGGTGAATCAGGTGAAGGTAAGTATCAGTGCCTGGGAGGTTGTTCTTTCAAGAGAACCTGTCATTTTGTTCCGAATGGCTGAAATGAGATTCTCTTTAATCTGAATGGAAGATGTGATATTTCTGTCCCAAACAGGATACACAGCATAAATTAGAATTTTTTGGCAGTAAAATATAGCTAATTAAATTTATTATTGTTTTAAGTTTATTTAGGTAACCAATAAAGTATACATATTTCTGTATCTCAGCGCATTAGGAGGTTTCTTAAGAGAGTGCATAGTAGTAACTAAATTCAGACTGTCTCTCTCTAATTGAAACTCTATAGTGAACCACACAGAGAAGGGAGGGAGGAATGGCAGGGAGGGGATTAAGTCATTTAGCTTTATGCCTTCTGCTCCGTAGTCCCTTTTTTAGCCTGGTTTCCATGTAAAAAAGAAGCATAAAGCTCCCCCTGCTGACAGAAAATGTAAATATAAAATATTAATGTTTGATATTGTATATTTAATTCAATAAAAAAAAATTTTAAATGTCTTTAAGGGTTCAGTCACACCAAATTTGTCATAATGTGTGCATAACACACATTAAAACACTCAGCAATGCACTGTAAGTGATTTTCGGAGAGTTGACATTCATTGTTAACTGCTCACAAAATATATACAATGTGCTGCAGCCCATCTGCTCTATAGCACACCAAAATGCACTGACGCAAATTCTCAGTTCCTATTTTTTTCATTAACGGGAGGTATAAGGCAGTGTGCTTCAACATTTAAAAATGAATGCATTAAAGTGCACTGCTTTGTTGTTGTGTTCTTGAATATAAATAAATGTATACATAAACAATTTACTTTCTCTTAAATGTCACTGTTGTGTTTTTGTGTTCTAATAATAGTATTACACTTTGTTGTGCAGTATTGTCTGTGGTTTATAGGTTGTTAGTTTTTTTTGTGTTATTTTTAAGCTCCCTGCTACCAGATACAAGTATCGCCTTATAGTATTTTTTAATTTTTTTATTATATCTTTCTTATTTTCCAGAGATGGCGTGCCTTATTGTGAGACAGACTACCATGCTCAATTTGGAATTAAGTGTGAGACCTGCAACAAGTACATCAGTGGTAGAGTTTTGGAGGTATGTTGTTATGACAAGCCAAAATCTAGCCACTTAGAACAGCTAGAGATTCTAGAATATCTGATTTTAGCAAGGGAAAAAACATTTGTCCTGTGTGTTTCAAATGAACTGTCAGTTTACAAGGCTATTAACCTGTTTAGTACTTAACATGTTTTGACATTCCTCCAGTGGAACTCATTAAGCTTTTCCCCTCCAGTTGTTGAAAAATTAATTTATCTTATGCTAGAGTCATGTCCTTTTATACTGCTCCTTGTTGTATATCAACAATGAAAACATGTTACCCACCCGTCCATATTTTGGTAGGGCATTGGTAATAGCAGTGCGCTTTACATGGAGATCAAATCCTAACATAAACCACAAAGCCTTATGTAACACACATTAGTAAACCTTCTGCACACTGATACGCATTTTAATGAGGGGTGTAAAACTCAAGTTCATTGCGGGCCATCAGCATTATGGTTTCCCTCAAAGAGCTGGTATGTACATACATAGTCCAGAGTTCAGGAGTGCACTGCGTACAGACTGCAGAGTTCAGGAGTGCACTGCGTACAGAGTGCAGAGTTCAGGAGTGCACTGCGTACAGAGTGCAGAGTTCAGGAGTGCACTGCATACAGAGTGCAGAGTTCAGGAGTGCACTGTGTACAGAGTTCAGGAATGCACTGCGTACAGAGTGCAGAGTTCAGGAGTGCACTGCGTACAGAGTGCAGAGTTCAGGAGTGCACTGCGTACAGAGTGCAGAGTTCAGGAGTGCACTGCGTACAGAGTGCAGAGTTCAGGAGTGCACTGCGTACAGAGTGCAGAGTTCAGGAGTGCACTGCGTACAGAGTGCAGAGTTCAGGAGTGCACCTTGTACATAGTGCAGAGTTCAGGAGTGCACTGCGTACAGAGTGCAGAGTTCAGGAGTGCACTGCGTACAGAGTGCAGAGTTCAGGAGTGCACCTTGTACATAGTGCAGAGTTCAGGTGTGAACTACGTACAGAGTGCAGAGTTCAGGAGTGCACTGCGTACAGAGTGCAGAGTTCAGAGGTGCACTGTGTACAGAGTGCAGGGTTGATGAGTGCGCTACACACAGGGTGCAGGATTTAGGGGTGTGCTATGCATAGAGATCAGGGTTCATCTCTATCCACTTCTCACTTCCACCCCACCTCCTGCTCCCACTTGGGCACTTGCCCATATTTTTGGAAATATAGAAGTCAAACTAGGACTTTTGAGTTTATACAATAAAAGAACAAATTTCAAGGAGTGGAAACTGCATTTATTTTTCAACATAGTCCCCTGCTACATTTATGCAATTATCCCAGCTTTTAACTAATGCCTGGAATGCTTCGGCATAGAAAGATTTGTCAGTACACCTGAACCGTTCTAGGACATTCGTGAATAACCGTGTTCACCGTTCCCACAGAATGATTCATCTCTTGTGCAATTTCACGATGGGTTATGCATTAATTATCCAGGATCAGGTGTTTCATGCACTTAATGTTCACAGGAATGACGGCTGTGGGCTGGGAACCACAATGTCCGGGATCATTACTGACGGACGTATGGCCATCTTTGAAATGTTTACACCATTCAGCTGTCTTACTGTGGCTGAGCGTCTCATCACCGTACTCTGCTTGATGTCTTCTGTAGATATCTGCTGCTTTTACTCCTTCGTTCACAAGAAACTTCATCACCACACGCTGTTCCATGCATGTACTAACACTGTTGTCTACCATCTTGATTACCGGTCTCTGGACTGGCCTGCAACATGTGCACCGTCCATAAGTAATAGGGCACACTTGCCACTTACTACTGCATGTAGTACCACCACACCAGCATCCCTTTTTTACCTGTAAATGTAAAAGTCCTGGTTTGACTTGAATGCCCCTTGTAGCTTTGCGTGTGAAATTTCCCTAAAGGCATAATTCACTTTTTCAAAAATGTAAATAAATGCAATAATAATAAATGTTGGTGAGAGGAACCACAGCAAGTGACACATTATCTAACAAACTTGGAAGCAGTGATGCTCATAGCTCTGAAAGAGTGAAGAATAGACTTACCACCCAATGATGCATACTAGCACATTATGACATTACCTTGCAAGGGATTTTTTAATCTTTTTTTTAGGTGCTGTTTACTACCGCTTTAAAGTGGTTGTAAACTTCAGACATGAAATATGAACAAAGCATATCCCTCTATAGTGTGTACTTGTCTAAATTAAGAGCACTAAGTGTCATTTCTGTTTTCTGCCTCATTCGTCTGCTATCATCATGAGTCGTTTCTGACCAGTTTTCCTGACACAAAGAGAAAAATGGTGACAGGGGAGAGAGCTCCAATAGTTTGACAGCCTCATCTCTGTTCCTGTGAGCTATGTAAAGGGGTGTGTGTCCTTCTTCCAAACAGCTCTCAGAGCTCTCCTTACTGAGCTCTGCAGGGTGTATTTCAGTTCCCTGCCCCCTTTCTTTCTTACAGCCATCTTGCACCCTGACATTTATTCTTTAACCTTAACCTAACTTAGATGACCCTAACACTTATCCCTCATTCTTATCCTAAAATCTAAAAGAGATGAAGAAGTTTATTGGGTGGCTGGAGCATCATCAGCGCAAATAATAAAACCATTACACACGTTCCTAGAAATGGCAAGGTGTAGATGGATGCTGTAGCAACTACCAGCTAGAGACCAGTAACATTGTGCATCAAAGCATATATCGCCGGCATACCATGGACCTTCAAGATACTGTCCAGATGTTTATTAAAGTGACCACATCTCAGTAGTAAAGGTGCAACATTTCCAGACCAAGCAGGGCACAAGTCAGGCATGTGATGACAGTTTAATATACGTTTGGATGCTTTCTTCAAGATCCATGGTGTGTTGGCAATATATGCTTTGAAGCCTCATCATGAACACAACCAGTCCAAGAATGAGATCACAAGCAACAAAATATTGGCATAGAAAGTAATATAAAGTTGTAATAGTAAAAACTGTATTTAGGTATTTTTTTAATCTGTTTTATGGCTTTTATTACTTACTAAGTGGTAGAGTAAAACTTTAAACTATCACAAATGTAGTTTTAAAGATGCATTAAGATATGTTGAAAAATGCTTCATAAATAATGGAATTGTAAGCCCACTGGCATTTCATGTCTGGGAAGTACTGAGCAATCAAGTCTATTATTGTAGTGAATTAGAAGACAGTGGTGTCCTGCCATTTCAAGCGTTGTTGTCAATGTTCAGTTTACTGTCTCCTGAAAATATGTATATTGCTTTTACTCCTATTATCCACTCTTGGTAATGTTGTACATTACAATGCCATTCTCCCTTCTGCTGTTTGCTCAGCTTGCCTCAATTTCTGTTGTCTGTCCGTATCTCTTCCATGTCAGCAGCATCCCAGCACACCTCACTGAGATCTGCCTGGATAGTACTGAGCCAATGGAGTGGAAATAAAGCACTTTAGCTCTTCAGCTGCTTGAGGCAGATTGCCACTGTGACCTTAACTTATGTGACTTTCCTCGGAAATCATACAAAACACATGGGTGATTCACATTGCAAGTCAAATAAATATTATGAAAGCCTAAAATTTTATATAAAAAAGTGTTACAGTTCAAAACCTCCCTCCACAAACTGCACAATGACTCATAGAAAATGAAATGAATACACAATATCCTACACTAGACTCTAGCACTATAAAGGAGCCTGTCACAGAGATACAGCTGCCATTGGTGACTTCATTCCCATAGACTTGTATGAAAAGGAAAAAAAACTTTTAAAGCAAACAAGGAATTGATTGAAACGGGTTCTATTATGCTGACCCAGAACAGGTATGCAGAAAAGGATTTCTGGCTTTTTGGTGGCTTCTGCGTACCAGATAATTGTCTAAAAAAATATTAAAGTTGAACTGTATGTACAGTATGTGTACCAATTATATTCCTCTGCTGGTAATGTGACAACTTTTATATAATGAAATGTAAAAAAAGTTGTAGGACTTTTTACAGTTTGGACCATTGTAAGTATGTGCAATACCTGTGGGATTCCGCTAGAAGCTGGCAATGACTGTAGTAGACACCCATACTATTGTGATTTACACTGGCTTCCAGTCCCATGCACAGATGCCCTTCTGATAATACTTTGCATTTTCTCAATGAATGTAAAAAAACTCTTCTCTGATTGTGATGTTACCACCCCGTCTCTCCACCTAGTGCAATCAGAGAACACTTTGCATTCATTGATTGTTCCCTGAATGGAGCCCTTGCCAAATGAGCAATCTCCTATGTTCACAGTGTAGCAGGGCAGACACTCAGTACAGGACCTGGAAGCTAGTGGAAATCACTGGAGTAATGATACCTACTATGGTGATTCCTAGCTTTCGCAGGGATCCCACAGGTATGGCACATACTTACTTACATTGGTCCAAGCTGGACACTTCTGTGGCAAGTAATAGACATATTTGTTCAATCTATTCCATATTATTTGTAATAGTAATGCCACTGTCACTAGTTATAGCGCATACTTATTTAGATCAGGCTTTGTCGATGTGAGAGACCGGTGGGCAATTTTGCAAAATTCTGGCAAAAGGTCATTTCAACTAAAGAAAGCAGCTTCTCAGGCCAAGGGAGTACTTATTTTTACTTACATGGTACAATGGTGCACCTTGTTGAATAACTAACACATTTTCTTTGTGGTTTTTTTCATGCATATCACCTTTATCTGTAGCCTCTGTACAAATAAAGATCTAATGTTCAACTGTTTGAATATATTGAAAGTCAAAAATTTCCATGGAGAGTTCTTACTAATTTCATTACTGCCTAATGATTGACAGCTTTCTAAAATACACACTAAATTAGTCCCTATATTACTTTTAAAAATCACTGTTTTAAAAAGAAATAAAGTTGTTGGCTGGAAATGTCCACATCTTTATTGATTTTGGCTGGATTAGGTAACAATCTTTTGTCTATGGGTAGCTGCAGACAAAATAGGCAACAGGTATGAAAATAATTGTTTGTGTTGCCTGGGCACCATTGTAT